TTTTCGGCCAATGAATTATAAACACAGAGTGTCCCTAATCAGCTCAGTATTGGATTGAACAAGTCTGATTTGAGAACTATTGGCAGGAGTAGCTGTAATTATTAAATTTACTAAAGAATAAGGAAAGGTAGTGAAGTTGGCTTTTTGTCAAATGGTAGTAGTCTTATTAGCAAAAAGTCATCATTTGCAGGGTCAGAGTGAAAGGAGGCTCCAAAGGATTCATTCTATCCTAATTATAGTTTCACCTATACATATTATGAAAAGCTAATATTTAAAGCTTTTGCCAAAATTAACTTCCTCTGTGTGTTCTATTACAGTGCAGTGAATTGCAGCAGCTTTTTATATCTTGCTGCTTTTGTATGCCATAATAATCTGTAATTATGGGTTTGCTGCAAATGCTGTAGGGTTTGTTTAATCTGACAATCTGAAAAGACAACCCTGAATAGACTTATTTAAATGAATGCTAGTTACATAAAGCCTTAGAAGCATCGATATCTTCATTTTGCATATTCTCACAAAGTTGGTTATTTTAAAATTTCAATTTGAATTTCTAAATTAGAGAATTTCATGTCTTCTTTATATCTTAGTAAGATAAGTATAAAAGATGTCTGTTCTATATTTTATAGCTCAAAAATAAGTCTAAATAAATATAATTTCCAAATCAACAAATAGATTTTTAACCTTTCATCTATATGCATATATCCTGAATTTAGAGTGCAACTTAGGGGAAACAATTATTTTACCTACATCTGGAATCTTAAGTTAATCCTTTTAGTGTTTTCACTGTTAATAATTATGACAGATTTGTGAACAAGCTCTGACACTGCATTTCCACTGTCTCTTCCTTTGGAAAGAAGATGTGTAGGATGGACTGGCACCTGGGCTTTGGGGTTTGTTTTAGAGAAAAGGCTGGCTCATTCTTGGCATTTATAAGCAAGTTTGAAAAAGGAACTCAGAAAAATTGCATTTTACTTATAATGTGCTCAAAATTATTGTGTCTGTTATGTTCAGCTTTGTACATGAGTTTTTAATTCACTTTTACAAATGAGTCTGTGTTGTTTTTGCAGAAAAATGGGGCTGGGAGTTTTTGATTTATTCATGATCACAGCAAACCAAGATCAGGAATTGTGAATCCATTTCTGCGATCATTTCTATTAAATTTTGTTCTTTCCTTTGTTAAGAATATAAACTTTTTTGTTCTGAAGATTCACTATTTAAAATGAGTCATCCATTTATGTATATCACTCAATAGGAAAAAAGGGAGAATAAAGTATAGAAAAAAAAATTTCTACATCAAAAAATTTTAAATTATTAATTCTAATTTTATTACCATTTAAACACAATTTAGATTTATTTAGGTGAACTTATTTAGTTGATCCTAGAAATGTATTTGGTGTTTATGCCAAGGAATACTTTATATGAAGTTTCTATACACAGGAAAAAATACATTTTAAATTCATTGTTCTATATCTTACAAAGAAAAAGTTATTTTAACAAAAGGGGAAAGTAGTATAGAAATTAGAGTTGGAAGGCAAAAGACCAGCCCTGATGTGAAACTAAGGCAGGTAAATCACTTACCTTTATGAACCATGTGCAAAATGAGGAACACTAGCTAGATTAGTCACTGATGCTGTGGAGAATAATTATATTCTAAGTTACAATTAGAGAAGGGAAAGCAGACATTACATTGAATCCACCCCTGTTCTCATTATCCAGTGACAGTCTTGAAAATGGAGGATTAAATTAAGGTTAATCATTTAGTGTTGTCTTCTAGTATTGAATGGCTGATTTTCAGAGCTAGTATAAATTTAAAAATAGATCATATACTAAGAAACAAATTTTCATATTTACATGTATATAGATATAAAAAATCGACCAATAATGGAAGATTAAATATTTGATAGTAACATTTTAAAATTTTTAAAAGACTTAAAAAAAAAACTTTTCTTTTTCAGAGTTGGAAAAGATCATGTTAGTATTAATGGCATAGTAGCGGTTTAGTTGTGGACTCTCTTCCTAAAACCAGTATTAGTTCTGAGTCATAAGGGCTATAACCTTAAAAATGTGACACTAATCTTTATTGAGTATTCTTTTTGAGAAATACTAGCAGTGGGCAACCTAGTAGATCTTTTTTTTTTTTTAAGCTTATTGAGGTATAGTTTACATAAAATTTATTCTTTTTTGATGATGTAATTTTTCTATGTATTGATTATGTTGGTGGTAATACAATTACAGAAAGTCATCAAATTAAATATTTAAAATTAGAGATTTTGTTTTTTATAAATTAGGACATTCTTGTTCGTTTGTTTGTTTTACAGTACTAGGAATTGAATCTAGGAGTACTCTGCCACTGTGTGATTTTTAACTTTTAAAAAAATTGGGGGAGCTCGGATAGTGGTTCAGTAGTAGATTGCTCGTCTAGCACATGTGAGCACTTGTCAGCACCACATAAAAGTAAATAAATAGAATAAGTTATGTCCATCTATAGCTAAATTTTTTTAATTTGTTTTTTTAGATATATGGGACAGTAGAATGTATTTTGACATTATATATACATGGAGTACACTTTATTCTAATTAGGATCCCATTTTTGCAGTTGTACATGAGGATAAGTTTCACTGGTTGTGTATTCATATATGTACATAGGAAAGTTATATCTGATTCATTCTACTGTCTTTCCTATTCCCACCCCCTCTTCCATTCATTCCGCTTTGTCTAATCCAGTGAACTTCTATTTTTCCCCCAAACCCCACATATGCTGATGTGTGTCAGCATCCAAATATCAGGGAGAACATTTGGCCTTTGGGTTTTGCGGATTGGATTTTTTCAATTAGCATGATAGCCTCCAGTTCTGTCCATTTACCAGTAAATGCCATAATTTCATTCTTCCTTAAGGCTGAGTAGTATTCCATTGTGTATATATACCACATTTTCTCTTATCCACTCATCTACTGAAGGGTACCTAGGTTGGTTCCATAACTTAACTATTGTGAATTGACCTGCTATAAAGTTTAATGTGGCTACATCACTACAGTATGCTGATTTTAAGTCCTTTGGGTATATGCCGAGAAGTGGAATAACTGGGTCAAATGGTGGTTCCATTCTACGTTTTCTGCAGAATCTCCGTACTGCTTTCCAGAGTGGTTGTACCTGTTTGCAGTCCCACCAGCAATGTACAAGTGAACCTTTTTCCCCACATCCTCACCAATATTTATTGTTACTTGTATTCTTGATAATTGCCATTCTGACTGGAGCGAAATGACATCTCAGTGTCGTTTTAATTTGCATTTCTCTAATTGCTAGAGATGTTATAGGTTTTTAAATTTTGAGATATGGTCTCACTAAGATTCTGAGGCCAGCCTCAAACTTGAAATCTTCCTTCCTTAGCCTTCTAGTAGCAGGGATTACAAGGTGTGTGCCACTGTGCCTGTTCAGAATATTTTTAAATAATATTTATTCTGGCAGCTCAGCTCTAGTGTTCCTAACTGGTTAACTTTCAGAGAATAGAAAATATTATTAGGCAAGATTACTCTGACTGTGGTAGAATAATAAACATAATCACTCCATAATTATGTCTAAAACTAAATAGAGGCAAGAACACTAACCATACCCACAGAAATATTACAAAACTAAGCATCTCTTCTAACATGAATTAATAATACATCTTTAGCAGTAACAACTCTACTCTCACTTCTTCAATGGGAAAGTATCAAGATAACTGTCAAATCAGTTCTTCTGACACCACTCAATCCAGATCTAGCTTTTGCATCAGCCCTCCTTTGATCACAGAATCACACTAGCAGTGTTTAACTAGTTGGCTTTGACAAGTTGTTATCTATTTTGTGTCCTCTGTGTGTCCTTTGTCATCCTTGTTAACTCCCTTCTTTAAATCCTCACATAAAGTTTCTTGCCTGTGTAGGCCTCTCAAACTACTATATTATTTCTCTTATTTTATTATTTCATTCAACTTTTTAAAGTTACTCATAAGTGCATTGTTTGCTTTCCTTAATGTACTTAGGAGAGAAAAAAATGATTTTGCATACAACTAACTGCTAGACTAGACAACACTGACCCAGAAGATTCCTTAGAAAAATATAATACATAAGCAGGCTCATCAAATATTTTTGCCTTTTTTTAATTTTTGTTTTTAGTTGTAGTTGGACACAATACCTTTATTTTATTTATTTATTTTTATGTGGTGCTGAGGATCGAACCCAGGGCCTCGTACATGCTAGGCAAACGCTCTACCACTGAGCCACAACCCCTATTTTTGCCTTTAAAATATTTCCTTGGCATATACTAGCTATACTGACTTGCTGTTTAAATTCATTCTGACTCCTAAAGTTTAATTGGAATATCACTTTTCTCAGAAACACTTTTACATCATCAGTAAAAGCCAGAATTAAATGACATAGTGTGCTGTAAACTATGTCTCTGAATCTGGAATCTATTCATGAGATAAGAAACTTATCAGTAAGATAGATTTTATTGGCTTTTTAATTTGTGTTTAGAGTATTTCAAGGGATTGATTTATAATACTTTGATCCTTCAAAAGTGATATACATTTAAAAGCTTTGGTTTAAATTATGAATTCATTAGCAAAAATTTCAAAAAGGGCTTCCTTGGGGCTGGGTTGTGGCTCAGTGGTAGACCACTCACCTAGAATGTGCGAGGCCCTGGGTTCAATCCTCAGCACCACATAAAAATTTAAAAAAATAAATAAATAAAATGTGTTGTACCCAACTATAACTAAAAAATAAATATTTTTTTAAAAAGGGCTTTCTTGTAAAATAACTGTTTTTTTTTCAAGTTTTGTTTTTCTTCTCTCTTTACCATCATTCCTAAACACAGAATCTAAGTTATGAATATTAATATTTATTCAAATATTTGATAGTGATTTTAAGAATGTAATGAAATACATATTTGTTGTGACATTTTATTATTTCTATGACTTCTAGGAAACAGCAGTATTCCCACTCATTTATATTTTTTATTTCTAGTGAAAACCCAAATGCAACAAGGATTAATCTCTATTGCAGCTCGAACTGTTATTACACATCTGGTAAATCACTTGGGTCATTATCCAATGAGTGGTGGTCCTGCTATGTTAACAAGTCAGGTTTGTGAAAATCATGACAATCATTACAGTGAAAGTACTGAACTTTCTCCTGAACTCTTTGAGAGTCCAAATATCCAGTTCTTTGTATTAAACAATACAACCTTAGTATCTTGTATCCAGATCAGATCAGAGGAGAGTATGCCTGGAGGAGGTTTATCCGCTGGCCTTGCTTCGGCCAATTCAAATGTCAGAATCATAGTACGTGATCTCTCTGGAAAATATTCATGGGATTCTGCCATACTGTATGGACCACCTCCTGTAAGTGGCTTATCAGAATCTACATCTTTCATACTTTCATTGTCTCACCAAGAGAAGCCAGAAGAACCTCCTACATCTAATGAATGCTTAGAAGATATAACAGTGAAAGATGAACTTGCCCTCCAGTTTAAAAGATTTAGAGAAACCGTACCAACTTGGGATACAATAAGAGATGAAGAAGATGTTCTTGATGAACTCTTACAGTATTTGGGTATTACTAGTCCTGAGTGCTTACAGAGAACTGGAATCTCGCTTAATATTCCTGCTCCACAACCTGTGTGCATTTCTGAAAAACAGGAGAATGATGTTATAAATGCTATCCTTAAGCAACATACTGAGGAAAAAGAATTTGTTGAGAAGCACTTTAATGACTTAAACATGAAAGCCATGGAACAAGATGAACCAACACCTCAAAAACCTCAGTCAGCATTTTATTATTGCAGATTGCTTCTTAGTATATTGGGAATGAATTCCTGGGACAAACGGTAAGAATGAAGTAGAATTTTTTCCTTTTTTAATTTTTTTTAATGTTAGTCTTATTAACTTTCTGATTGAGAATTTTAGTCTCCATTCTTTTCCTCACTAAATTTTATCTACTAATTACGTCTTTGACCAGTAGGCATATTTTTTGGAGACCATTTAGTTATTATCAGGATTCAGGAAGATAAAAAGTTAATTGAGTAAACCATCAACATTTTCAGAATGATTACTAAAACTGTCTGACTTAGAAATTATAGCTCATATGATTAAAAGAAATATTTTTTTCAACCTTCATGTTATTATGTTAGCCTAACAATTTCTTTTTCTTTCTTCTGTTTTTTTGTTTTGTTTTTGTATGTTTGTTTATTGTTTTTTGGGTGGTAGTGCTGGTGATACTGGGGATCAAATCCAGGGTACTTTACCACTAAGTTACATCTCCAGTTCTTTTTATTGAGACAGGGTCTTACTAAATTGCCAAGACTGACCTTGAACTTGTGATCTTCCTACCTTTTTGGGAGTACAGGCCTGTGCCAGCCCAACAATTTTTTTTAGACCAACTATGGTTTGATCATTTCTGGTTTGAATTAGGGAAATTATCCCAGATTCGGGATTAAATCAAGAAAGGAATTGGATTTTGTTGTTGTTGTTCTCTTAGTGTTTTGTGTTCTTATGCATGTTACAAGATCTTATTTTAAAAGGCATGGCTAGAAATAAAGTTCAATATTAAAGTGCATGCTTAGCATCCATGAGGTTGTGAGTTTAATTCCCAGCACCAAAAACAAAAAAAGAAAAAGAAAGGAAAGACAGCTTACTGTAAACACATGTATTCAAGCGTTAAGGTAAGAGTTAAATGAAAAGAAGCATTGGACTTAGATGACCTAAGTTAGAGTCTACAAATTAAGAATAATTCTCACCTCATGTAGTGGAAAGAATTAAAACACAAAAACACCAAGATTTTATGTCAATATAAAGCATTATTAATATACATTTAGGTTTTGTTGGAGTCAGCTTTTATTTGGTTTTTTCTTTTTTCTTTTTCTTTTTTTTTTTTTGGTGCTGGGGATTGAATCCAAAGCTTGTACATGCTAAAAGCACTCTCATATGAGCTATATCTCCTACCTCTAGTTTTAAATTTTTATGCTATAAAAATCTGTAGGAGGGGTGGAGTTGTGGCTTAGCTGTAGAGCACTTGCCTAGCATGTGTGAGGCACTGAGTTCAATCCTCAGCACCACATATAAATAAATAAATAAATGTCTATTGATAACTAAAAAAATATTTTAAAAAATTGTAGGAAACTGGAAAGCAGCAGCATTATTTAATGTGTCATTTCTTTTCCACTTATTGCAAGAGGAAGAAGCTTAGATATCACTGGACATTGAATAAATCTTAAAGTAATCCAAATGTATATAAAACATTGAAATCGAGTGTTTACAATCTTACTTGATTTAAATTTCTCCATTTATTAGAAAGCAGTATTCTCTGCCTAGGCCACATTTTTATCAGAAACACAATTTGTCTTATATGTCCACATATGGATAATTATCATTTAGTTATTGTATAAATGCATTCTATTCTCTTGCTGTGGAATAACCTATATCTTGTCTCCTGAGAAAAGTTTAAGATGGGAATCTGTATTTATCACAGCAAGCATTGATTTTTGTGTACATATTTTATATCTGTAGAACAGATTTGGCAAAAAAATTATAGGTTTTCATAGTGTAAAAGAATATACATATATTTTACATGTATTTGGACTATATATTCACATATATATTAATATATATATATATATATATATATATATATATATATATATATATATATTAAGGAAGAAAGCAAATTCCTACAAGTACTTTTATTCATTTTTCTGGATATGAGTTTGGGAAGCATCTGTAAGGAAGGATTGAAGTGGTCAATAGATACGATCCACTAACAGAAATGTATGAAGACCTGGTAGAAATAATGACATATATTCTTTACATTTTTTTTAGGGTCTGTTCTCCTTTGTGTTAGAAGTATGAAAAGGCAAGAAAAGTGTAAAAGTTGCATGAGTAGAGTGGAAAGTATTTCCGGGACTGTCATGTCATTCACTGCAAAGGTGATGAAAATGTTTATAAATCTCTCTATTTAGGAGGAGCTTTCATCTCCTGAAGAAAAATGAAAAGCTACTTAGAGAACTTAGGAACTTGGATTCAAGACAGTGGTAAGTTGTTGAAAAATCTTCACATTTATAATTAGCCACTCTCATTCTCTATATACTTTGAATAATATTGTAAACAGGGAGTTTATACTTTATTGTTGAGTTATAACTTTCTGAGTTATATGTATTGTATTTTCTGAGAAAGTATTTCATTATTCCTTAGAAATATATATTAATTTTAAGGAAAATTTAGAATTGCATTAAAATTTTGGGTATCTTATAATTGGTTATACTGTATTTGCATTTCAAAATCATCTTTTAAATCATAGAAATCTAATTGATCCTGGAAAGTGCCCTTAGATTTTTTTCTCATGCTTTGATAAAATTAGTCATATCTCTCATTAATTAAATCTAGTGATTCTGATAGGTTGAAAATCTAGCTTGAAACTAGCCACCCACTGTGACATCACAATTGGACAGGAACACAAAGTAAATAAGATGAGTTGGGCCTTTCCCATATGAATCAGCTCTACATGTTCCTCTCTCCTTTAAAATTTCTATATTGAACCATCTTCCTCACATTTATTTCAGAAAAATCATCTTGTTTTCTTCTACATATATTTCTCTGCTTTGTATCTTCTGTCTGTTGTTAGATCTTCTTTAAAAGGTAATCTTAGCCAGGTGTGTGGTACACACCTATAATCCTACCTACTCCGGAGGCTGACGCAGGAGGATCACAAGTTCAAAACCAGCCTGGGCAATTAAGCAAGGCTCTATCTCAAAATAAAAAGTAAAAAGGTATAGGGACATCGCTCAGTGGTAGAGTGCTTCTGGATTCAATCCCCAGTACTGAAAAAATAAAAATTAAAGAAGTAACCCCCTTTTTCACTTGTATTTCTGCTTAACTCCTCTTACCATAAACATGTTTCTTATCTGTCTTTAAACAAATCAAAAATGAAAACTTTCCTCCATCATTATCTTTTCAAACTCTGTCTTATTCTTCTCATGCTCTTTTACTACCAAATTTATGGAAATACGCAATCAGTATAATCATATTCTCATAGTTTCTAACCAGCTTTTGTTGTGAAGTTTTTAGCTTTTCTCAAAATGACCTATTTAAAATAATTTTAATTGTTTTTTAGTTATTACAGAAAATATAAAACAAAAAATATCCATATATTTGTAATACTATTGTTAACAAAAACAATTTCACTCTTTTTTCAAACAACTTTTTCTTTTACTTTTTTTTTAACCAAACTGGAATCATAGGGTTATATATTAATTTCTTTTTTAAAAATATTTAATTTTTAGTTGTAGTTGGACACAATAGCTTTATTTTATTTATTTTAATGTGGTGCTGAGGATCAAACCCAGGGCCTCGCATGTTGCTAGGTGAATGTTTTTACACTGAGCCACAACCCCAGCCCTTAATTCCTTTTTTTAACTTTATTATATTGTGAGCATTTTCCTCCTTTAGATATTCTTTAGCAATAATCTCTTATGACACCAAGTTCTGTGATTTCTGGAAATTTACAGTCTCTTGCTCCAAGATAGATGCATAGAAATACAATTATTAAGTCATAGCACAACAGCTTACTTCCAGCCCTATATGTTACAAAATTACTTCCCATTAAGTAATAATTTGTAACTCTACTGTCACTTAAAAACACCTTAGAACTTCAACCTAGCCAGCACAAGATATTAGTTATGTTTTTTCAATCTATAGCTTGAGTGGCAGATGATAGTGTTTTGTAATTTTTATTTGTTTATTACTAGTGAATTTTTTTATATATTTAGGTGAAATTGAACCTGTTTTTAAATTCTCTCTTAGCATCCCTTTTCTGTTTCTATTTAAGAATATTTCTTAATGGCAATACTCTGCATGTATATGTGTATGTGTTTTAAGGATTAAGTTTTGTACTGATAGTGGAAGTTTTACAGTTTACAGTTTTCAACTTGAGATAAACATAAAGGTTTTTCCTTTTTATGTAGTCATATCTCTCAATATTTTTCTTTAGATTTTCTCAAATGTTTGTTGTGCTTATAGAATGCTGTTTTGAAATCAGTCAAACTGTCTGTTAGATTTCCTTGTAGATCTTCAATTGGTTGTGGTGGTAATTATTTTACATTAATAATTCTTTATTTCTTCTGGATTACATTTTGAATTATTGAATGGGAACTGAAACTAGCTTGAATGTTGTCTATTGCTATAATTTGTTGAATGATCCATGCCTTTGCCATTAATTTGATATTTCTTTTATTAAATATTAAGCTGTCAGCTTCAAAGCTCTTCATTTCTATTGATTTTTCTGTTGTTTTGTACAAGTGTTACACTGTGATTTATTATAGCTTGGTAATGTATCTTAATATCTGATAGGTATAGTCATCTTTCTTACCTGCCCCCCCTTTATTCACAGTATTATTATTCTCTTCAATATTCTAGCCTTTTTAGTCATCTAAAGACATTAAAATTATGCTGTTACTTTTCAAGAAAATAAATCTTAGTATATGATTGGATTTTCAATAAACATCTCATATGGAAAAACATCACTATTATAATTATAATCTTTTCTGTTCATAATCATGCTATGTCTCTTTATTTATTCGAAGGTCCAGATATTACTTTTGGTATTTCTTAGGTGTTTTTATTATTCCTTTCCTATTCTTTTTTTAAAACATATATATATTTTTTAGTTGTAGTTGGACACAATGCCTTTATTTTATTTATCTTTATGTGGTGCTGAGGATCAAACCCAGCACCTCACACGTGCTCTCTACTGCTAAACCACAACCCCAGCCCCTCTGTTGCTATTAATAGAACATCTCCCCCATTTTATCTTCTGAGTTTTCTTGTTTTTAATATTCATTCATCTTTTATCTGAAATTTTTAGTGAATTCTCTTATTTATTTTAAACAATTTATAGTTTTCTCTCTTTAAATTTTGTTTAGGTATACAATCAATTTCTACAGATAATCTCTTTTCTAATAGGGCTGTTTCTGCTTATATCTTATTCCACTGCCCAGAACTTTCAGGATAGTGTTGAATGATATAGTAAACAGTGAGCATGCTTCTCTTTCCTGATGTAATGGGAAAAACAAAAAAACCCCTTTTTTTCTGATTTGAAAAAGATAATTTTTATCATGCTGAGAAAGTAGTATGGGGTTCTTATAAGGAAAAGGTATTAAATATTATTGAAATACTTTTCAGGCCCTATGCAGGTATTCATATCATTTTGATTTCTTAACTAATTGACATTAAGTTTTAATATCAGTAGATTGCTAATAATAAAAATATTTATCATTTTTTGAGTAAACCCTGCCTAGTCTCTTGACTTCCTATTCCTAAAAGTTTTTTGTTGTTGTTGTTTTTGTTTTTGTTTTTGAGTAAGGGTATAGTCCATTAATTTCACAGGTTTTATAGTTATTTTTTTATCCTGTTCTTTGTATGTTTTTTTTAGAATTAAGGTTATATCCAGCTTTATAAAGTAAGCTTAAATGTTGCTTAATAGATGGTAATTCATAATGGAAGGAGGCATAGGATGAGTGGAGGAACTTTGGATTGGCCAGAGGGAAGGGAAGGAAGGGCAATGGGCATGGGGATGGCAAAGATGGTAGAATGAGACAGACATTATTACCCTAGGTGCATGTATGGGTTGCATGAATGATGTGACCCTACTACGTGTACAACCAGAAAAGTGAAAAATTGTGTTCCATTTGTGTACAATGAATTGAAGAGCATTCTGCTGTCGTGTATAATGATTAGAAAAATAAATTTTAAAAAAATTTTTTAAAGTTCAGAAGAATTGGGCTGGGGTTATGGCTTAGTGGTAGAGCACTTGCCTAGCATGTGTGAGACACTGGGTTTGATTCTCAGTACCACATATAAATAAATAAAATAAAAATCCATCAACAACTGAAAAAAAAATTTAAAGTTCACAAGAATTAAAATTGCTAATTTTTCTTTCAGTTTGTTTCATCCTTATTTGTCTTTTAACTCTTTTGGTGGTGCTGGGGATTGAACCTAGAGCCGTCTGAATGTTAGGCAAGCACTCTACCAACTGAGTTATATCCCCAACCCCTGTCTTTTAACTCTTGGATCAACTTTCTTGTTTGTTTTCCAAAATATGTATTATTGAGATTTTTCCTAATAGATATTTATACTTGACATCATAATTTTTATTATATTCCTGTTTTCATTGTAGTTTTGTGGGATTTTTTGTTTGTTTGTTTTTCTTGATGTAGATAATCATCTTTGCTAAACTCCTTCTACTTACTTTCCCAAACTATCTACTTCCATGTGCCACAGAACCCTGTAGCACTTATCTATAACAGCACACATCACACTGAATATTAGTATTACTGTTATTAGTTATTCTTTTTACTTTTTTCCAAAAAAGAGCTATGTACAAATACTCTATGTAGTTTATGGATTCCCAATTCTGATTCCTCTTTCAAAATAATTTATCTTTGTTACTAGATGATCAAGTCCTTGGGGAAGGAATCATCTCTTCTTGCCATCTTGCTCAGCTCAGGTCTAGCTTTTACAAATTCTACGGTTCTGCTGAAATTATCTTTCTATAAGTTTGTATCCTTACCATCAGGTCTAAAATTCTTTCAGTCTACACCATCTCTTTAACTTACCTAATTAATTAAACTTAATTTAACTTAAGCATGTTTTAAAATTAGAGTAGTTTTAGGTTTACACAAATACCATTTAGAAAGTACAAAGTTTCCACTTACCTCTTCTCCCCCTGCTCAGTTTTGCCTATTATTTGTATCTTGTCTTAGTGGGGTACATTTGTTAAAATTTATGAACCAATATTGAAATATAATTATTAACCAATATATTATCAGTGAATTCACAAAGCTGCACAACTATCATTATATTCTAATTTTAGAATATTTCAGTCCCTCTGAAAAGAAACCTGGTGTCCATTACCAAATTACTTTCCATTTCCTCCTTAACTCCATTCCTTATCCCTTGGCCTTAAACAATAATAATCTATTTTCTGTCTTTATGGATTTGCTTATTCTGGATATTTCATATAAAATGGAATCAAACA